TTGTAGTCTTACTCTGTCACCCAGACTGGAGTGCAGTGACCACTCCCGGCCACCGCAGCCTCGACCTGCTGGGGCTCCGGTGATCCTTCTGCCTCAGCCTTCTAAGTAGCTGGAACTACAGGCGTGCGTTACCACACCTGGCTAATTTTTTTGATTTATTGTAGAGATGAGGTCTCACCAAGTTGCCCAGGCGGGTCTCGAACCCGCAGGCTCAGGCAATCCACTCACCTCAGCTTCCCAAGGTGCGGATTACAGGCTGAGCCACCGAGCCTGGCTTAGGGAATCATTTAACAGTTCTAATCACTTGACAGGGCTCCGTGGGCAGTCCACCCAACCAAAGAGGATCTAAAGGCGGGGAGATGCTTTGATTCATTCAATATCAGCCACCACATGATGTTATTTCCAATCTTTTTTAATATCCATGAGATGGAAAAGTCTGTTTACAGGTTTGACCTTGGAATTGAAGCAGCCTCTCCACCTAGTCTCCAAAAGTTCCACTTACACTTTGCGGGGACTTTGATTTCTGATAAGACTACTGGAGACTTCCACTTTGGTGAGAAGACTCTGATCAACTAGAGTAAATGTAGGCTGTCAAAACAAACCCTGTTCTCCCTACAAAATGCCTTTGATCCCTTGAGTGATACTCAGGCCCACTCCTCAGTCCGCCAGCAAGCAGCTAAACTGCGTAGGGCTGAGAATGACACTCCTTTGAAAGATCTTGCCAATTTGTGCCTGGAATTTGATGCATTAGTTCTAAAATTAAATAAAGATCCTGTAGTGTTCTTCAAGGAAATATGGTGTGCCTCCCTGACAAAACACATTTTTCAAGCTCTGACCTCTGGGAACTTCGACTAGCTCCATATTTCAAGCTGACTTTCCTCGCAGGCTACTGTCTAGTCGCCCAAGCCAGGGCCAGTTCGTCATATATTTTCCAACTCAGATCAGCTTTCAGCATAGGGAGGGCGAAGGGAGTAAATAAAAAGAGGAGAGTCACTAATTTAAATGCACTCCCCCTCCTTAGATCCTTGGGGAGAAGCCCTGGTAATTAACTCTAATGAGATTAAAGTAACTTGGAACTCTTCATCTTCCCAGCACTGCAAAAGTCAATCTGCGATAACCAGTGCGTGTGCATTAAATCAAAGCCAGTCCCTTTTCCTGTATTTAGTGGTCCCTCTCGATCGCAACCCACCCCCCAACCCCCCCGAACACCCTCGCCCAGGTTGAAGGGAGGAAGGGAAGGGCGGCGAGGCTCTTACCGGCACTTTGCTCCATCACTTCTTTCTGACACATGTCTTGAACGTTCACCGTGCAATTCACGATGAACTCGGGGGAGGAGCAGTCGTTGTTCAGTTGGAACTCTTCACACTGGTAGCACTGGATTTGCAGCGCAAAGCCTGCGGGACACACGCATTCGGGGTCAGTACGGCTCCCACGGAGCCCACCCCGGAAATCACGACCGTCCCCCGCCCCCGAGAGCCGCCACTCTCGGCCCTCGGCCTCCTGGGTGCTTGCGGGCTCCGCACTCCCGGGTCTCCAAGGAGGGCCGGATGCCGCTGAGGCCGGCAGGGGGCGGCGCGGGTAGCCAGGGTCCTGCAGGACAAAGTGCAATACCGCCCGCCACTCCCAGACCCCCACCCTGCACACAAAAAGCCCAGCGAACACCACCCCGGCCCTTCCCCAAGAAGTTAAAAGGAGAATGGGCTAGTGCCACCCCACGAGCGAAGTAGCTCGGAAGACGTGTGTCTGTGCCAAAGGATTCGTCTAACTGCTAATTGGTTACAAATTACTTAATTGCTATTTTGGCACCCTTCATGATTACATTCGCAGACGCCTTTTCCGTTTTATCGATTTAATGTTTAAAGTGGGGCATTTCTGTGCTGGGGCTCTGAGGTTCCCTGCGCGACCACCTGGGAACCCAGAAGGAGGCGCCGGACGCAAGCGCGGCAGCGCCCACGGTCCCCGGGGTGGCTCGGCGGCCCGTCTCCGCGGCGACAGGGGTGGCCACAGCGGATGAGAGAGGGTGTTTGTGCACCCCGTCCCTCCTTACCTCCCACCCCCTGACACAGCAGCCCTTTCTCCCCGGGCGCCTGCTTTCCGGGCAACCGTTTGGCTGGGGTCCGCGGTCCGGGTCCCAGCTCTGCAGAGCTCGGCCGGGAAGCGAATTGGAGAGGAGCAGCGAGACGTTCGCGACTGTCCCCGCCTCGTCTCGGCGGTTCCTCTCGGTCGGGGAGCTTCCGTCTAGACCGAACCGCCCGCGCGCCCCAGACCCACATCCATCGCACTCCGAGAGCAGCAGCCCTGCCCCGGCCACCCGGCGCGACGCTCACCTGTCGGCGGCGCCACTCCCACGGCTGGCCAGGGACGCCGGGCAACTTGGCGGGGCTTGGGTGGGGGGTGTCGCCCCCTCTCCCTCGCAGAGGCCCCGGCGCGGCTCAGACCCTCCTCCCCCCCCCGCCCCG